CAAGCTTGTGACGTAATTAGAGAACGAGAGAAACACAGGCAGATATTGATTATGTAAATTAATACTTAATTTGCATAATTGATGAGAAAATGTAATAATTCCATAATGCTAACTGCCTGGAATTTCATACTTGGGGTTGCTGGTGTCTTTTCTAAATTTAAAGAGACCAGTGTTACTGCAGTAACGTACGGACCTCCCACGACGCCCATTTCCGAACTTGATCTTGCTGTCGTCAACGGTAACTTGCTCGCAAAAAATCGTGAACATCCATTTGCAGATTCTCGAATTATCCCGCTAACAACAATAACGACCACCACAAAAGGTCAAAATCAATGACATGGGAACCCCCACGAGGCCCATATCCGAACTTGACCTTGGTATTTTCAATGGTAACTTGCCAACTAAAAACATGAACATCCATTTAAAGATTCTCGAGTTATCTTGATGACAAGAAAAAACACAAAAAAACAAAGGTACAACTGCAGTGACATAGAAACCCCCACGGGGCCCATCTTTGAACTTGACCTCGGCATTTTCAACGGTAACTTGCCCACTAAAAATAATGAACATACATTTAAGGATTCTCGAGATATCTTGATGACAAGGAAAAAACACCAAAAACCAAGGTCAACTACAGTGACTTAGGAACCCCCCACGAAGCCCATTTTTAGCCTTGACAATGGCCACCCCTAAATCAACCTGCCTGCCAAAAATCGTGAACCTCGGACCTTGCCTTCAAGAGTTATCGTGCCTAATCTGCCAAACAGTGCAAAACCGATTTCATAACCTTCTCCGAAGGCATAGCCTTCAGTCGAAGGCAACTATGACGAATGAATATCTTTTTGAAAACGAAAGTTAACAGCTATGTCGTTGGGTATAAAGCTGCCGCCATATGTTTCCCGTTTTTTATGAACATTGCAAGATCCATCAATGTACATTTGGATACGTAGTATTGAAGGACCCACAACTGTATCGTTTTGAATACCATCTTCAATTCCACAATGATATTTACCACCCATTAACTAACCTAGTAGAATGTTTGAAACTAGTGAAAACTGGTCATCAAGGTCAATTAATGAAACCCTGTGGAGAAATTGTATTAGCTCTAGCTGTTTCATCATACAATTTTGGGCAAATGTGTCAGAGGTATAACACCACAGTACAATAGCAGACTCAACAATTATGAATCTTTTATTTGCCATGAAAAGTTGTCAGTTATTTGAATTGCTGAATGTAATGAGATTCTGCTAAATTAAGTGTACCTGCACAAAATAACATGTTGCTCCGAGAGATATGAGAGATACGAGAAATGTCGAACAGGTGGTTGGAGGTTAGTTAGATTATACATAATGCTGTCTCCATCCCACACTCAACCAGGATTGTCCCGGTGGCTCGATGCTCCCGCCGCATCAATCACACTCAAACATTGCAGGCCATCGCGAGCAGAAACAACTTTTACAGGCTCTCGTTCTTCCCCCGTACCATCAGGGAATGGAACGAACTTGAGCCTGGTGCGGTGGAGGCGGGGTCTCTCGCCCAGTTCAAATCTGAACTGGCGAGGACCCTGCTGCATTGAGCCACCCCATCATGTCTTGTATATATGTAAATATTACTAACGCACTAATGCACTTGTCCTGTCTTTAGCACACACAAAATCAGTTGTCTTATGCTCCTTTCTCAGCTCTCCTTGTTTTTCCCTTTGTTTTTTATGTACCGGGCACAACTGTTACTAACAATGCGTAACGACTGCCAATAATACTACTCTGTAGTGCTGGGCAGTAACGAAGAAGAAGGAGGGCCGTTCGAGAGGAGACAGATCGGCGTTCGGCGGCTAGCAAACAGCAAACAGAAGAAGAGAACGTTCAAAGGGAGGAAGAACAAGAGTGGACATATTATGACGTAGACAGTACGAGTATGACCAGCGTGATGTAAACAGCATGAGCAGACCTGCACGTGTTCTACAGGACGATCATTCCGACGGGGCACAGCAGAAACGCCGGACACGCTGCTACGCGATCTACTCGTCAACTCACCACTATTACCTTCGTCACTCGCCATCGTGCAACACGGGGACAACCTACTCACCCCATCGGACAAAGGCAAATCTGGAAAGCTACACAAAGACGACCAAAACAAAGGCAAGGACATTATAGTTAGTGACAATGGACAATGGATTCTGACTCTCAGCCTAATACGTGGTACGTTTCATTACCATTAACGCCCGCGGTCTACGGAAAAGATCTGTTTGTAGAGCTGATTGCCTAATTAAAATCTAGTTATTCTCTAATAACTACGGGTAATTAGTAGATATCAATTTGTGCAAACGTACATTTGTAGCTTTGACCATTATGCACATGGAAATCATACTTTTATTGCAGTTATTTGTACCAAAGTGCTATATTATAACTTTAAAGATGATTACATTTGGGGCAATAAAATATGATGACGTCATCTATATGGTCCATAAAATCATCTTCATAACGCTTTTGAACCAAAATATCAATATCTGCAACGGGCAAAACTATGATGCATCATTAACTAAACATCCAATGAAAACCGCAAAACATACTTTCACGTCCCCACACTTCCTTCATACTACACAGGTGCCCACAGGCGCAGGTCTTTTGATTCTTCAATACAATAAGGCTTCTAGCAGGCACAGTACATTCTGCTGACCTACTTGACAAGTATGCTACGGCCGTATCAATTTAATGTGATTGTAAACCCAGATTCTCTGACTTGGCATCAAACATGAAGCGCCATATGTGCATTAGGTGTAAAACGTGAATGAAGCGTTATGCGTAGTAAGTTTGTGGGAATTTTAGCACAAAGCTTGATCGCAGGAACTCTTATGCAGATCGCTGAAAATTACGGTTTACATTGCCTAGTCCTACCGTTTGGCCAATGGAATATTCCTGAATTATGAACTCCTACATGTCATTACCTTCGCCAAGAAGGTTATGTTTTCAGGGGCGTTCGTGTATGTGTGTGTCTGTCTGTCTGTCTGTCTGTCTGTAAACACGATAACTTGAGAAGGCCTTGATGGATTGTCTTGATACTTGGTAGGTGGGTAGGTCTTGATGAGACCTCAAAATGATTAGATTTTGGACCCCCTAGCGGCTTGTTATGGTACTGCAGCTGAACTTCCGGTTTTGATATCTCATGATCTAGACATGCTATGGTGATGAAATTTAGATGGTAGGTAGCTCTTGTGCTGGGGAAGAAGTGACGTGAGTTTAGGCCCCCTAGTGGCTTGCTCTGGAACTGCAGCGATATATTTTTGAAAATATTCAAAAGGGGATAACTCAAGAACCGGTTGACGGATCGTCATGATTTTTGGTATGTAGGTAGCTTACGTGATGCTTAATATAATTATGTGAAAATTATGCAAATATGGATGTAATTTGCATAATTTATGGGGAAATTCTATAAATCAGCTGTATTCCATGATAGGACAATTAAAGCTTGTGACATTGGTAATTGACAACGAAAGAAACACAGGAAAATATTGATTATGTTAATAATGACTTAATTTGCATAATTAATGAGAAAAGTTTATAATTATGTAATGATAACTGCCTGGAATTTCATACTTGTGGTATTTGAAAGTTAAATTGAGGTGAACATCATTAAACATAATTTATTCAAATCAGGACCTCATTTGCATAAGTTATTAGGAAATGCTAGAATGCATTGTTTGTTAGTATAAGACTGTTTTTTGGTTGAGATTATGATAAAATGATATAATTCATGAAAATTAGGTTCCTATTTCTTAAATCGGGGGAATAATCTAATGTATAATTTGTCAGTCATAAAGATTAACATCATTTGGCGAAGGTATGAGATCGGGGAACTCTAGTTAAGGATGTGAGTACACCTGGGGACTTCTTCTTTCAAAATAAAACAAATAAACAAAGCTGATCATGAAACAAACAAACGTATGTACTCATACTACTCATTATTTATAGAGACGTTAAGACGTAAAGCGCCAGATAAACCTTGTCACGCCTCTCGATGAATGGAACATTCCAAGGGGAATCCCCCTTTCGTAAAGGTGAGTCACTCAGGGGACTTCCGCATTTTTCGAGGGGACGTCGACATACGCCGTCGCGAGCTGAAACCTAAGACACCAGTGGAGAATAAAAGGTGAGTTTTTACGTAGATCAGGCTACAGATTTTTACCATAAGGTATAAGGTATGACATACAGTTGACAATACAGAACACTGTACACGCACTTCGCACCTAGCGGGGCTTAAAACTCTTCGAAGCAAGAATGTACATGTTTCTGATTTGCTAGCCTACCGCCCCCCTCCCCCATCCCGTTGCAAAAATGATAAAGATTCACCTTTGTCTCCTCTTCCTTTTGCTTAAAGAAACATTCACGAGAGTTTTAAATGGTTCTGGACTGGTACACACTCTGCTTCTTCATTAACTGGTGCCAAATTATTACAGAGGATGCCATCCATATAATCAATGTCCTAACGTAATTGTATATATACATTCAGCACGTCCATGATTCGTGCAATTCTTATTCTCTCTCAGGTCAATGAGCCCGAGTGCCTTCGACAAAGCATAACATAAGCAATATTGGTACCATGAAGAACTGTACGACAATGTGAGGACACTGTTGGTCATAATCTTCTATATCGTGCTTGTAAGGAAGCAAGATCAAAGAACAGATTCTGATTGCTAAGCAAAGAAACCCTGTCAGGAGGAACAAAAATGTCACACACCGAGCTGTCTACAGTGGTGGACGAATTTCGGGAACTAGACTTAATCTTTAAAAGCGGTTCTGATCTGGATGTTGTAGAGAGGGGATACGCACGGAAGTTGGTTCACGCTATAAGTACTCAAAATGAGGTTTTGGAGTGTGAAGCCTTGAAAGGTCTCGGAGACTTGTACCTGCACAAAGCAAAGATGAAAAAACATAAAGCAGAAAACTTCCACAAGGCCTGCTCGTTGTACACAGAACTTTTACGGTATTACACTAGTACTGAGGAGAAGCAAGTTGTACAGCATCGCATCAGATATGCAGAGAAATGTACGAAACTGGTCCATGATCAAAAGGTTCTAAAAGCGTGTGCTACGAATACAGGCAATACCATATTGGCTGTGTCCAAAACCCTTCACGAAGTGAGAAAGAAGCCCAGGTTGAAAGGACATGGTACGGTGCCCTTGATTGAAGGTTATACAAATTCTTTGGTAAAAGCAATCGTGGAAGGGAACAAACGTTTGGAAATAGAATCCTTGAAGAGCCTGGGAGATGTGTACCTAGAGAAGGGAAGGGTTGGTAAGGACGAGACAGCGTTCAGTAAATCAGCTGGTCTGTACCGAGCGGCGCTGGACCGCTGTGAAGATTCAGACGGCAGAGAAACGCTAAGACACCGCATCAAGTACGCAGAGAAAGTCAAGGAAAAAGAACGCAAGGTTAGAAAATGTTAATCATTTTCAATCATATAATTTTTATATGTTTTTGGCTTGTTGCACAAAATAATGACCCAAAATCCTTGTCAAAATGCATGTTCTGTATATTTAATTGACGATTGGAAATCCTACTTTTCTTACGTGCTACTAGGTTATTGTTTACAAATCTAAGCTAATTTTCCATCTTCATTCATTATCTTCTTTCCACAGAAACGCCGAGAATCGGGACGAACCAGAAACAAGAAAGTTGGAAACAGCAGCAAAGACAAACAGGAAGTCACAGACAGGTTTGTTTGCTGTCTTTTATTTAGTTTTGCACCGACAAGATGAGATTGATGCTCAGCATATTAACAGTACATTAAAAGTCTCACGTCCTGTATGGGCTTAAGTTACAGTATCAATAATTGTGACTCCTTTTCTACAGAACGTACCAAGACCAGCTACAGGAGGGCTGCAGGGCCCTGCAGACAGGGGACCTGGACACGGCAGAACGGAACTTTGCAGCAGCGCTCAAGGCCGTTCATGGGAAAGGTGAGTGTACCTGCCACATGATGACAATCTAGATTTTATCAAAACCCACAAATTTTAGAAAAGGTAGGACATTATGTCTTCCATGGTTTACAAACGAGAAGTCAAACCCTTCAGACACAGTTTTAGACATAGCAATAGTTTTAGACAATTAGATTTCATATTTCGTTACATTTTAAAGTTATTTTATACCCTGTTTCAATGTTTCGTTATGTCTGTAACTTGCAATTAGCCTTCGGGCATGGATTTGCGCATGCAATGAACTTATTACAGCAAGGTCAGTGAAGTCAATATAAAAAGATACGAGTACACAGGTGTGTATTTGTGTACCACACACTGTGTCAGCTAACGCGCAAATGAGCTTTTGAAAAAAAAAACCTCTTGGGGCATAGGTATCTAGCAACGATCGTTTCATGTTCCAATGCAGGTCAGCACTGGAATGAGACAGAGCCCCTTTGCAAATTAAGCGATGTCTACCTAAAGAGAGGAGAGAAGTCAAAAGACGGAGGTGATTTCACCAAGGCTGCAGCACTCAGTAACGCAGCACTGGTGAGAGCAAAGATAGAACACAGAGAGGGCATCAAGAAAACATGCCAGGAAATAACACAATCTTTTGTTAAGCACGTCCTGAGTATCGACCAAACGGTACCCACGGATGACGTAGAGAAACACAAATCAATGTTAACAGAATGCCGCTGCTATGTGGAAGAAGAAATCAAAAGAATTGAGCAGCAGATAGATCCTTACAGCCTAGATGACAACGACCCAGAGACAATGGAAGTAGAGAAGAAGAGAGTGGAAGCAAACAAAGCCCTGTTTGACACTATTGTTCATCAGCGAAAATCATTCATATCTGACCTTGTAGATGAGTGTATGGAGGTTATGGGTCCCCCTCCCTGTAAGTACGCCATGATAGGACTGGGTTCACAGGCCACAGGACTAGTAACACCATACTCCGATCTGGAGTTTGCTATTTTGATAGAGGAGGAAACAGAAAACAGTCTAGAATACTTTAAAAACCTCACATATTACCTTCATCTCAAAGTGATCAATCTAGGGGAAACCATTCTCCCGGCCATGGCGATCAAGTCTCTCAATGACTTCGAGTCAAAGAACAAGCTTGACAACTGGTTCTTCGACTCTGTAACGCCACGTGGCTTTTCTTTCGATGGAGCCATGCCACATGCATGTAAAACCCCACTAGGGAGAGGTAAAACATGCCTCCTTATTCGTACACCACACCACATGGCAAAATTTCTTGAAGTTGACGTTAAGATACATCTTAAGAAAGGCTACCACCTAGCGAGTGTGTTGGGAAATGTATCATTAATTACTGGAGAACAAGGCTTGGTCGACAAATATACCGTTGCATGGAATCAGCAACTGAAAAAAAATGGAAGTGAAATTGCCAGGCTACTAGCAAACAATATCTTGATGGAAAATACCAAGACGTTTGAAATGCAGAATCCGACTGACCAAATGCTAAATGTAAAGAAAGAAGTTTATCGCTTTTCAAGCCTTGCAGTATCTTGTTGGGCACTGCTCTGTGACATACAGCCGACCACAATCTGGGAGACTATACAGGCTATGTACAAGAAGGGTGCCATTAGTGATAAGAACGCACATCACTTAATGGTTCTGGTCAGCATCTCAGCAGAACTGAGGTTGCGAACTTACATGAACAATCGTGGTCAGGTGGAAAACATGTCAGTCTTATCGTCAATGTCAGTCAATGCTGACATTGAGGAAAAAATAAAGAGAATTTTCCACTTCTCCAACGTAAACACAGCTCAAGAGATACTACTACACGGCAACACCTTTGAAATACTTTGTTTCGCAACTTAGCAACAGTCAACAAGTAGAAGAGCCCTCGATTATTTTCGACAACTCTTTACTACTACAAGCATATGTTTACGAAAGTCTGTGCGACTACAACCAATCGAAGACATGCCTTGAACAGGAAATTCAAACAGTGCTATCAACACACGGAACGGGTGTAATTCATCCTAGCATTGCCGGGTTACTTGTTAAGATGGGTAACGCCTGCGGTAAACTTGGTGATCATAGAAAGGCTGTCAGCTATCAAGCGCAGTCACTACAGATGAGGCGGAGTATTCATGGTAAGAACACTGAACATCCTGATATCGCCTGGTCACTTAACAACTTGGGTAATGCCTGGAGTGACCTTGGTGATTACAGAAAGGCCGTGAGCTATTATGAACAGGCACTAGAGATGATGCGGAGTATCTATGGTGAGGGCAACGCACACCCTGATATCGCCTCGTCACTTAACAACTTGGGTGCCGCCTGGAAGAACCTTGGTGATCATAGAAAGGCAGTCAGCTATCATGAACAGGCGCTAGAGATGAGGCGGAGTATCTATGGTGAGGGCAACGCACATTCTGACATCGCTTCGTCACTAGGCAACTTGGGTGTCGCCTGGAAGAACCTTGGTGATTACAGAAAGGCCGTCAGCTATCATGAACAGGCGCTAGAGATGATGCGGAGTATCTATGGTGAGGGCAACGCACATCCTGACATCGCCGCGTCACTTAACAACTTCGCTAATACCTGGAGTGACCTTGGTGATTACAGAAAGGCAGTCAGCTATCATGAACAGGCACTAGAGATGATGCGGAGTATCTATGGTGAGGGCAACGCACATCATGACATCGCCAAGTCACTTAACAACTTGGGTACCACCTGGAGTCACCTTGGCGATTACAGAAAGGCCGTCAGCTATCATGAACAGGCACTAGAGATGAGGCGGAGTATCTATGGTGAGGGCAACGCACATCCTGATATCACCTCGTCACTTAACAACTTGGGTAATGCCTGGATTGGCCTGGGTGATTACAGAAAGGCCGTCAGCTATCATGAACAGGCACTAGAGATGAGGCGGAGTATCTATATTGAGGGCAACGCACATCCTGACATCGCCTCGTCACTTAACAACTTGGGTAATGCCTGGAGAGACCTTGGTGATTACAGAAAGGCCGTCAGCTATCATGAACAGGCACTACAAATGAGGCGGAATGTCTATGGTGAGGACATGGCACATCCTCACATCGCGAACTCACTTAAAAACTTGTGCCTTGCCTGGAGAGACTTTGGTGATCGCAGAAAGGCCGCCTCTTACTACGCTCAGTTTACACGGATAAAGCAGATGATTGATGGGACTTATAGGCCCTGACATTGCTAATATACTGACGAACTTTTTGTGTCCCAGAAATCGTTAAATAGCTACACAGAAAGCAGAAAACAATGATTATGAATTATGACGAATTTATGTTGTTTTAAAAACCGAAGTGAAGAGCTATGTTGTTTGTTATAAATTGGCCGTGACATGTTTCCCGTTTTTTTTAAAGATTGCAAGATCAAGCAATGTACATTTGGATATGTAGTATTGAAGGACCCACAACTGTATCGTTTTAAATACCATCTTAATTCCACAATGATATTCACCCTCCATTAACTAACCTAATAGAATGTTTGAAACTAGTGAAAACTATGGTCATTATGGTCAATTAAACCGTATGGAGAAATCATGTAAAATACAATAATTGTATTTGCTCTAGTTGTTTCATAATACAATTGTTGGCAGAGGTACAAATGTATAACATGACAGTACAACGGCAAGTCAACAATCAGAAATATTTCGACATGAAACGTTTTATCGGACAAACTGTTTCCAACAAAGCATTCCAACTTTATACGATCAATGTGGATAACTATGCAGTTAAATTTCTGTTAAATCCAAACAATAAAGGGCTCCAAATGATCATTTCACCTGTAATATATTATGAGGTTGCTAGATGGCGCTACTGCACACATGGCTAGGGATGGTATGAGTTTGAATGGTCACCAATAGTTGGTATGGGCAATATCTACCTACATAGTAACTACAGAAGTTTGGCAAAACGCCAATCAACGTTTGTCAAGGCTTTGTCCAAATTTGCAGTTTTCTTGACGTTGAAATTGAATTGCTGAATCCATTGAAATTCTGCTAAATTAAATGTCGTAGCCTATTGACTTGCCAGTAATCTTTAATCTTTTTTTTCCTTTCTCTGCAATATGCATACATATGACCAAAGTTTAATATATGACCAAAGTTGATAGAGATATGTGTAGGCCTGTCTGTCATGTTTTTTTCTTCATAATTTAAGTTTCATATATGTAAGATTGCATGATTTAATGTCTAAGAATGTAAAACGAATATGGCAATCAAGAGAAAGAGGCTATAAGACTTATTGTGCATTAACATTTTTCTCAAAGCTCATTATCATGTAATCTGAGATCATCATGAGGCTGGTCCTATGGTGACAAGGTTTCTTTGTTCTATTCTTAAGGACTTTAATTACGATGATTGCTGTAGTATTTATTGGGTATAATGGAGAACTAAAATGACTGGTAAGGAATAAATTTTAAAGTCTCTGGTTCAATGTGCAAGGATGTATTTGTAACTTAGACCATATTGTTTTGATTATATGAATGACATTTTCTGGGCGCTCCAGGACTGATGCGAGCATGCAAATAGAAATAGGTTAAAACTATAAAGGTAACATTTGTAAAGCAAATGCATGATGTTTACCTTAGCAACATTGCAGCATTATTCTTACTCAAACACATTCATATATATATATATATATATATATATAATATATAATATATATATATATATATAATATATGGTGACAGTCTAAATCCCTCTAGCTATAAAGATTGCAACATGATGTAACGTTAAAGTTTCAGAGCTGATTACGACTTTACGATTTGCGGCTAATGTCCAATTATGAATTACGTTGATTTTTGCGGAGGCTGCCTACGAATTACGAAGTCTATTTATAAAACGGCCTGATTACGCCTTACGAAAAAGGGCTTGTAGGCCCCTTTGAAATCTAAGTGGTCAGGAAGGATTTACAAATGACTAAAAACACACAGAGGATGGTATACTACATTTGCCTGTGAAACCCAAGCTCTGCCTCGAGTAGAGAACAAAGAAAAGGAGGACGAAAAGGCGAAAAACAGAGTCAGCTTTATCCTGGATGACAGTGTTTGAGTGATACTCAGCTGCCCTACACCGAGTGAAGGAGGAATATGGAGCCATCCCAGCATCCCTTTCAAACCTTGCAGTCCTATAATGGCCGCACCTGGGGTCGTATCAAGGTCACCTGAGTTAGCACCGAATGGCAGTCGCTCCAGACCCTTGCGATTAGGCCTCAAGAAATGCTCCTCACAATTCAGCCACAAAGCTCACTGCAAGAGCCGTTGTTTATGTGTAACACAGTATTGTTTCAATGTCGCTCATAGGCCATATATATCTGATCATGTGGATGGCATCCGTGCGCGCATGAATTTTCTTCTTCTGTTTCCAAAACGCTTACGACCATACTATAAATCGTTCAAGCAGCTGTAAAACGAGAAAATATATGCCGTGAATTGACAATTGTCGAAGTATGTCAAAAGCAATTCTAAAGAAAAGGAAGAAAATGTGAAGAAATGCAAATAAAGAGTCTATTATTCGCAATACCATACTCGGTGTGTTACGTCAAACGTCATGACTACGTAGATTTCATAATGAATCAACTTTTTCTTTTGCCAAACTTTTTTTCGCACGCTCGCATCAGTTTTGTGTTTCCCAGAGGACGTCATCCATATAATCAAATCAACATGGCCTAACACAGTATTGTATTAAAGTATTAAAAAAATCTTTCAATCTTTACTTTCAATTGATAAATACAATATCGTGAAACCATCTGATTTCCATATATCCGCTAAATTGACTCCCCTGTCACGGACACCAATATCTATGATTATTTGGAATAAAGAGAAACATTAGTATTTAAAAAAAACTGTCAGGATTTGATTAATTGTTGACAACAACGTAAACACTGGGACAATGGAGGTCGGATAGAAGATCGTTATCAAGAACCAAGCTAGTAACACGGCCCGGAGTTTTGTTTTTAACAGGCTTGCTTATTGTGACGTAGCCTATATTGATATCTACGCAGATACAGTCCGTCTGGTTTTGTTATCTATTTATAAACTATGTCTCATATCGGCCAGGTCAACTTATCATAACAACTAGTGCCTCACTAGTAGACTCCTGTGACGTATCTAACTCGCGTCATTGCTTAAACGCGATGCAACGTGACCAATTATAATTATTATGTCATTATTATGGGTCAGCGAACACAGGGTGATCTTGTACGATTTGTACGCTATAGACAGGCTTATTTACATTGTTCCTTTAGCACTAGACGGTAAAGTATACGGATAAAACGATACACTACTGAATAAAGAGGATGTGGTAGAGATTTCGTGGATTTTTACTAGAAAAACAGGTCTTTAAATTAAACAAGAGGGGTCTGTATTTGGGCGGGGTTCGAACGCAAACCAGATTTACAAGTTCTCTTTGTCAATTACTATCGGACAATCTGATTGGCCTACCCTTGGGCGAACCCAGTATTCAAGGTTTCTCTCGCTCGTTCTGTGTAGTCTCGAATACTAGTTTGGGGGCACGTCATACGCCAAGCCGTAGTGAACTCCAGGTTTTCAACCTTACCCTTTCTTCGAAACGTGTTTCGAGACCGTACGGACAACAAGGATACAGTACTGAGGAACGTTACCGTGTGAGGACCGACAAGATTGGACTATCGCGGGTTTTTTTGATCGGTTCGGCGTTGGCGATATGTTTTGCCGCCGGTAAGTCAACATTCCATACCTGTTAATACTGAGATCGTCCTGACGATATAGACATGTTTCGATCATGTTGTCAGTTCACACGGACAGAGATTTTTATTCTGAAACATAACATGGGTATCTTAGATCACCATAATGTTGTTACCTTCGCCAAGAAGGTTATGTTTTCAGAGGCGTTCGTTTTTTTTTGTCTGTGTGTCTGTAAACACGATAACTCGATAAGGCTTAAATGGATTGTCTTCATACTTGGTAAGTGGGTAGGTCTTGATGAGAACTAGAAATGATTGGATTTTGGGCCCCCTGGCGGCTTGTTGTGGTAGTGCAGCGGAACTTCCGGTTTTGATATCTCATGATCTGGACGTGCTGGGGGCACGAAATTTAAATGGTAGGTAGCTCTTGTGCTGGGGAAGGAGTGACGTAGGTTTGGGGCCCCTAGCGGCTTGCTCAGGAACTGCAGGGGCGTTTCTTCAAAAATATACAAAAGAGGATAATTCAAGAACCGGTTGATGGATCGTTGCGATTCTTGGTATGTAGGTACATGTAGCTTAGGGACGATTGACATAATTATGCGACGATTATGCAAATCTGGATGTAATTTGTATAATTTATGAGGAAATTCTATTAATCAGCTGCATTACATTATAGGACTACTCAAGCTTGTGACATACGTAATTGAGAACGAGAGAACCACAGGCAGATATTAATTATGTAAATTAACAGTTAATTTGCATAATTAATGAGAAAATTTTATAATTCCATAATGGTAACCGCCTGGAATTTCATACTTAAGGTATTTGAAAGTTAAGTGAAGGTGGACAACATTAAATATAAATTATTCAAATAACAACCTCATTTGCATGATTTATGAAGAAATTATAGAATGACTTTCTTTGTTAAGATAAGGCTGTCTTTTGGTGGAAAATATGATCAACTGGTATAATTCATGCAAATGAGGATCCTATTTGCATAATCAGGAGGAATAATTCTTTACTTTGTCAGTCATGAGGTATGAGATCGTGGAAATCTAGTTAACATTAGATTTGTTGTACATTTTAAAGTAGAGCAAAAGAATATTTGATCGTTTGTTACACTACGATGCAAGTAGATCACGTGTAACCTTGGCGCTCTTTCACACAGGAGAAAATGATTTATTATCATTGTTTTTTCCATGAAAGTTTATGATATTTGACTCAACCAAGAACGAGTACGTATCCGATCGTACAACACTCTTGCATGTGTGACTGGAATCTTAGTCTAAACACATACAATTAAATAAAAGACTTCATTTAATTTTTTAAAAACATTTTCTTCTTTTCCTTGGGAATTTGTTTTGGCATTCTGCGACATTAGTATCGACTATTTTTATGGTGCAATTCACGGAATATTTTGCTCATTTCCCAGAAGCTTTGTACGATTTACAGTATGGTCGAAACCTTTGTTTTTGGAAACGGTCGAAAATTCATGCGCGCGCGGATGTCATCCATATAATCAACATGGCCTTAGGCAGGTTACTCAGGGATAATGAATTGTACGTGCGTACATGACGAGGCGCGCCCAAGGTTAACATAGGTTACCTATTGTTCTGTACAATTTTCAGAAGAAACAGTACATGGCTAAGTCCTGAAGTATTTGGTGTGCTTTTTTTCTCTCTTCCAATACCATATCTACATGTCTAGTGTGGTATGAACACGTGCATAGTTGTGGCAAATTTTAGACGGAGTATTAGAACATTAGAACATTTACATAAATGATTAGTCAAAAGAAGACATGCCTTGGGTACATATCAAATAGCTCTTACCGCGTTCTCTGTGAAACCAAGGGTAAAAACAACCGGCTGTGTCTGGAGTTGAGGCTGTGCGAACCTATAGCTAGTGGAGAATAGGTCTTCGTAACAAGAATGTGTTGTTGCTTTGCTAGCCTGCTTAATATGATTGGTACAATTTTTCTTCCTCAGGTCAATAAACCAGAGTGCGGTCGACATAGATGCGTGTTCATCGGGATATTTAAGAACTATATAAGGTAATGTGAAGACACTTGCGGACAAAACCTTCTTTTTCGTATTTGATACACAAGGAAGACTCTAATTGCATAACCAAAGAAAACACTGCCAGGAGGAACAAATATGTCACACACAGCGCTGTCTACAGTGGTGGACGAATTTCGGGAACTAGACTTAATCTTTAAAAGCGGTTCTGATCTGGATGTTGTAGAGAGGGGATACGCACGGAAGTTGGTTCACGCTATAAGTACTCAAAATCAGGTTTTGGAGTGTGAAGCTTTGAAAGGTCTCGGAGATTTGTACCTGCACAAAGCAAAGATGAACAAGCATAAAGCAGAGAACTTCCACAAGGCCTGCTCGTTGTACACAGAACTCTTACGGTATTACACTAGTACTGAGGAGAAGCAAGTTGTACAGCATCGCATCAGATATGCAGAGAAGTGTACAAAACTGGTCCATGAACAAGAGGTTCTAAAAGCCTTTGCTACGAATACAGGCAATACCATATTGGCTGTGTCCACGACCCTTCACGAAGTGAAAAAGAAGTCGAAAGGACATGCGATGCACTTGATTGAAGGTTATACAAATTCTTTAGTGAAAGCAATCATGGAAGGAAACAAACGTTTGGAAATAGAATCCTTGAAGAGCCTGGGAGATGTGTATCTAGAGAAGGGAAGGGTTGGTAAGGACGAGACAGCGTTCAGTAAATCAGCTGGTCTGTACCGAGCGGCGCTGGACCGCTGTGAAGATTCAGACGGCAGAGAAACGCTAAGACACCGCATCAAGTACGCAGAGAAAGTCAAGGAACAAGAACGCAAGGTGAGAAAATGTTTATCTTTTTCAACCATATGATTTTTATATAACATGCTTTATTCGGCCTGTTGCACAGATATGTAGCCAGCTTTATGCGACTGATGAAATAATAAACCGATGTGCTTCTTAAAATGCATGTTTAGTTTATTTAATTGACAATTGGAAATCCTACTTTTCGTTACATGCTATTAGATAGGGTATTATTTACAAATCTAAGCTAAGTTTCCATCTTCATATTATCTTCTTTCCAAAGAAAAACCGAGAAACGGGACGGACCAGAAACAAGAAAGATGGAAACAGCAGCAAAGAGAAACAAGAAGGTTTCACAGACAGGTTTGTTTGCTGTCTTTTGACAGGTTAGATAGATGCTCAGCCTATTCATAGTACATTTTAAGTAATACGCTCTGTATCGGCTAATGTTACAATATCCCAGTATCAATAATTGTGACTCCTTTTCTACAGAACGTACCAAGAGCAGCTACAGGAAGGCTGCAGGGCCCTGCAGACAGGGGACCTGGACACGGCAGAACGGAACTTTGCAGCTGCGCTCAAGGCCGTTCATGTGAAAGGTGAGTGATTCCGTGTACCTGTCACATGGTGACAATATAACTTTTATCAAAACCCATAAATTTCAGTAAAGATGGGACATTATGTCTTCCATGGTTTACACAAGAGAAGTGAAACCCTTCAGACATAGCTTTAGACACATACAATAGTTTTAGACAATTAGATTTTATTATGTACATTCTAAAGTTATCTTAAACTCTGTTTAAATGTTTTTTTGTAACTCAATTTGTAACTTGCAATTAGCCTTCGGGCATGGATTTGCAATAAACTTCTTAAACTTATTACAGCAAGGTAAGTAAAGTCATTATAAAAAGATACACAGGTGTGTATTTGTGTATCACACACTGTGTCAGCTAACGTGCAAATAAGATTTTGAAAAAAAAAACTCTTGGGGCATAACTATCTTGCAACGATCGTTTATGTAATGTTCCAATGCAGGTCAGCACTGGAAAGAGACAGAGCCCCTTTGCAAGTTAAGCGATGTCTACCTGAAGAGAGGAGAGAAGTCAAAAGACGGAGGTGATTTCACCAAGGCTGCAGCACTCAGTAACGCAGCACTGGTGAGAGCAAAGGTAGTAAACAAAGAGGACATCAAACATACAATACAGAGAATAACACAATCTTTTGTTAAGCACGTCCTGAGTATCGAACAAACGGTACCCACGGATGACGCAGAGAAACACAAATCAATGTTAACAGAATGCCGCTGTTTTGTGGAAGAAGAGATCAAAAGAATTGAGCAGCAAATAGATCCTTATGGCCTAGATGACAACGACCCAGAGATAACGGTGGTAGAGAAGAAGAGAGTGGAAGCAAACAAAGCCTTGTTTGACACAATTGTTAATCAGCGAAAAACATTCATAGCTGACCTTGTAGATGAGTGTATGGAGGTTATGGGCCCCCCTCCCTGCAAATACGCCATGATAGGACTGGGTTCACAGGCCACAGGACTAGTAACGCCTTACTCCGATCTGGAATTTGCTATTCTGATAGGGGAGGAAACAGAAAACAGTCTAGAATACTTTCACACACTAACACATTACCTTCATCTCAAAGTGATCAATCTTGGGGAAACCATTCTCCCGGCCATGGCGATCAAGTCTCTCAATGACTTCGAGTCAAAGAACAAGCTTGACAACTGGTTCTATGACTCTGTAACGCCACGTGGATTTTCTTTCGATGGAGCCATGCCACATGCATGTAAAACCCCACTAGGGAGAGGTAAAACATGTCTCCTTATTCGCACACCAAGTCACATGGCAAATTTTCTTGAAGATGACGTTAAGCTACATCTTAAGAAAGGCTACCACCTAGCGAGTGTGTTGGGAAATGTATCATTAATTACTGGAGAACAAGGCTTGGTCGATAAATACACCGTTGCATGGAATCAGCAACTGAAGAAAAATGGAAGTGAAATTGCCAGGCTGCTAGCAAACACTGTGTTGATGGAAAATACCAAGACTTTCGAAATGCAGGATCCGACTGCCCGAATGCTGAATGTAAAGAAAGAAGTTTATCGCTTTTCAAGCCTTGCTGTATCTTGTTGGGCACTGCTCTGTGACATACAGCCGACCACAATCTGGGAGACTATCCAGAATATGCACAAGAAGGGTGCCATTAGTGATGAGAACGCACATCACTTAATGGTTCTGGTCAGCATCTCAGCAGAACTGAGGTTGCGAACTTACATGAACAATCGTGGTCAGGTGGAAAACATGTCAGTCTTATCGTCAATGTCAGTCAATGATGACATGGAGGAAAAAACAAAGAGAATTTTTCACTTCTCCAACGTAAAACAGCTCATGAGATACTACTACACGGCAACACCTTTAAAGTACTTTGTTCCGCAACTTAGCAACGGTCAACCAGTAGAAGAGCCCTCGATTCTATTTGACAACTCTTTACTACTGCAAGCAGATGTATACGAAAGTCTGTGCGACTACAACCAATCAAAGACATGCCTTGAACAGGCCCTTCAAACAGTGCTATCAACACACGGAACGGGTGCGATTCATCCTCACATTGACGGGTTGCTTCATAAGATGGGTCACGCCTGGTATTACCTTGGTGATAACAGAAAAGCCGTCAACTATTATCAGCAGTCATTGCAGATGAAGCGGAGTATCTATGGTAAAGGCAAAGCACATCATAATATCGCCTCGTCACTAAACGACTTAGGTGCCGCCTGGAAGAACCTTGGTGATTACAGAAGGGCCGTCAGCTATCATGAACAGGCACTAGAGATGAGGCGGAGTATCTATGGTGAGGGCAACGCACATTCTGACATTGCTTCGTCACTAGGCAACTTGGGTAACACCTGGAGTCACCTTGGTGATTATAGAACGGCCGTCAGCTATCATGAACAGGCGCTAGAGATGAGGCGGAGTATCTATGGTGAGGGCAATGCGCATCCTGATATCGCCTCCTCACTTAACAACATGGGCAGTGTCTGGAGTCACCTTGGTGATTACAGAAAGGCCATCAGCTATCATGAACAGGCACTAGAGATGAGGCGGAGTATCTATGGTGAGGGCAATGCGCATCCTGACATCTCCTCGTCATTAGGCAACTTGGGTACCGCCTGGAGTTACCTTGGTGATCACAGAAAGGCCGTCAAATATTTTCAACAGTCACTAGAAATAAAACGTATTATCTATTGTGAGGGCAATGCACATCCTGATATCGCCTCCTCACTTGACAACTTGGGCAATGCCTGGAGTGACCTTGGTGATTACAGAAAGGCCGTCAGCTATTATGAACAGGCACTAGACATGAGGCGGAGTATCTATGGTGAGGGCAAAGCACACCCTGATATCGCCTCGTCATTTAACAACTTGGGTACCGCCTGGAGTTACCTTGGTGATCACAGAAAGGCCGTCAAATATTTTCAACAGTCACTAGAAATGAAACGTAGTATCTATGGTGAGGGCAACGCACATTCTGACATTGCCTCGTCACTAGGCAACTTGGGCAATGCCTGGAGTCACCTTGGTGATTACAGAAAGGCCGTCAGCTATCATGAACAGGCACTAGAGATGATGCGGAGTATCTATGGTGAGGGCAACGCACATTCTGACATCGCTGCGTCACTTAACAACTTGGGTAATGTCTGGGGTGGCCTTGGTGATTATAGAAAGGCCGTCAGCTATCATGAAAAGGCACTAGAGATGAGGCGGAGTATATATGGTGAGGGCAACGCACATCCTGACATCGCCTCGTCACTTAACAACTTGGGTAATGTCTGGGGTGGCCTTGGTGATTTTAGAAAGGCCGTCAGCTATCATGAACAGGCACAAGAGATGAGGCGGAGTATCTATGGTGAGGGCAACGCACATCCTACCATCGCCTTGTCACTTAACAAATTGGGTACCGCCTGGAGTCACCTTGGCGATCACAGGAAGGCCGTCCGCTATTTTGAACAGGCACTAGAGATGAGGCGGAGTATCTATGGTGAGGGCAACGCACATCCTGACATCGCTTCGTCACTTAACAACTTGGGCAATGCATTGAGTCACCTTGGTGATCACAGAAAGGCCGTCAGCTATCATGAACAGGCGCTAGAGATGAGGCGGAGTATCTATGGTGACATGGCGCATCCTGACATCGCGGAGTCACTTAGAAACTTGTGCGTTGTCTGGAGAGACTTTGGTGATCGCAGAAAGGCCGCCTCTTACTACGCTCAGTTTACACGGATAAAGCAGATGATTGATGGCACTTATAGGCCCTGACATTGCTAATATACTGAAAAACTTTTTGTGTCCCACAAATTGTTCAATAGCTACACAGAAAGCAGTTAAATGAGAAAGTATCATTAACAATGATAATGAGCTATGACGAATCGATGTTGTTTTGAAAACGAACAGCTGTGTTGTTTGGTATAAATTATATTACTAAATCATATTATCTATTATGATTTCATACTACTTCCATATGTACATTTGAGTTACGTTGGTTGATTTGACTTATGATTTTACTTTTGTTATACAATGCTTATATTTATTTTACTATATCATATTACCTATTTATTATGATTTCATACTACTTCCATTTGATTTGATTTATGTTGTCAAGTTGGATAGTTCCACTTCTTTTGTTCTGTTCTTTTGTTGAATAAAAAAAATGAAAAAAAAATTGCTGTCACATATGCATGTTTCCCTTTTTTTTAAAACATTGCAATCTCCAGCAATGTACAAACATTGCAAGATCCAGCAATGTACATGTGGATACGTAGTATTGGAGGACCCACAACTGTATCGTTTTGAATACTATCTTAATTCCACAATGATATTCACCATCAATTAACTAATCCAATAGAATGTTTGAAACTAGTGAAAACTGTCATTATGGTCAAGTAAACCGTATGGAGAAATAATGTAAAATACAGAAATTGTATTTGCTCTAGTTGTTTCATCATACAATTGTTGGCAGCGGTATAAAATGACAGTACAACAGCAAGTCAACATTCAGAAATCTTTTGCCATGAAACGTTTTATCGCTTTCAGCAAGGACAAACAACAAAACATTCCAATTTTATACTATCAATGTGAATAACTATACAATCATTTCTGTTAAATCCAAACAATAAAGGGCTTCAAATGATCGTTTGACCTGTAATATATTATTAAGTTGCTAGATGGCGCTACTGCACACATGGCTAGGGATGGTATGAGTTTGAATGGTCACCAATAGTTGCCATGAGCAATATCTACACAGAAACTACAGAAGTTTGGGAAAACGTCAATCAGCGTTAGTCAAGCCTTTGTCCAAATTTGCAGTTTTCTTGACGTTGAAATTGTGTGTCCCAATGTATTGTATGATGTTATATGTCTAATATGTCCCTGCATGTTTGGTCAGTTATGGCTGACGTGAACTGGGATATCAATGTTCCTTTCTTTTAGTTGTGAATAAACAATGATTTCACTAATTGCTGAATCTAAAGAGATTCTGCTAAAATTAAATGTACCTACACAAAATAACCTGTTCCTCCACTCACTTTGAAAGTGGTTGTACTCGAACCTTTGTTGTTAGTGTTTTCTATGAGATTTACTACAAAGTCTATGCCGATTGTATAAAGCACCAAGAAAATATGAACTACTAGTATCAACACATTTAGGAACCGTACGCCAAAACCGTGAGATACATTGTACCTTTTAATGAAACCAGTTTATTCTGTAGCTTCTCTAAAGCGTTAACCGAGTGTTGAATAATTGAAAGAATAAACAACCACCTTGAATTCCAGAAATACAAAAGTGAACAGTCATCAGCTGAGAATTCTTGACAAAACAAGAGAAACTTTTACTGGAAAAAAATCACATCACATGTCCATGAAAAAAAATCACATGTCCATGCACAAATTCAGACCAAAAGGTTCAGTTGAGATTCACAACGAAACTCCTTGATGCCAAAACGTTATTGTGTTCATCAATTGCTAACAATATCGGATAAAAAAGTCTAGATCTGGTTTAAATCGTTTGATCCAGGCCTAGGTAATGCCGAACCTAAACTCCCTCCACACGGACCCCGCCTACTGGCCTGATCCGGACCGGTTTGACCCCGGAAGGTTTCTGGACGCGGAAGGGAACGTCATCATCAAGCCTTCATGCCGTTTTCAGGAGGTAAGGCTGAACGATATCTTCAGAAGTACCGCAGTAGTGATGACAAACCTTCTATGCGAGGGTTGGCTGGTCTTACAACTCGGCATTAATTTTTCCAGGCCGACGTGTGTGTCTTGGAGAGCAGCTGGCCAGGATGGAGATTTTCTTGTTCTTCTCCACCCTGCTGCAGTCCTTCACCTTCAGGACGCCAGAGGGCGCTCCTGCTCCAACCACTGACGGCGTCTTTGGTATGACGTTAACCCCGCATCCGTTTAAGCTCGTGCGATCCCGCGTTGGTTTATTGGCTAGATGTATGATGTGATGATGACAATGACGTGATTCATTCATTTTTTTTCTAAATTTCTTTTGACAGGGGCGCTTAAATGATGATCAGCACAAGGGAAGCCATAAGTTTTGCACGTGAGAAAGCTATTGTATGTCGTTGAGGTTACTCGTATATGCTTTCCAAACCGCTTGAGGATGGTGGACATGTAAGAGTGTGCGTTATACGGCGGGTGTAATGCACGGTTATAACAAAGAAACTCCCTTACTGTTGTAGCATTTGGATACATCTGAGTTTTTTTTTTTACCTTGGTGAAAACTGTGGTCTTTTGGTTCTCTCTCTCTCTCTC